GTAGTGCCATTTGACATTTCAAAGTTGGGGTGTGTTGCGCTGACAGGGTGACTCATCCCTTTACTGAAGTATGGTGGTTCTAGTTCTCCCTAACTCTGTAGCATTTGTGCCAAACGGCGTTTTCCTAACTGTTTTATTTAGCGAGATATTCGCATTGAAAGTTTTCAAATTTAGACCCTCGAATTAATGTTTTTCGTACACCCTGTAGTGGGTGGAAAAAAGTCTCAAACAGGTGAATACTACTGACTGAGACCGTTCATTTGAGGTATCACAAAATAGGTAGTGCCATTTGACATTTCAAAGTTGGGGTGTGTTGCGCTGACAGGGTGACTCATCCCTTCACTGAAATATGGTGGTTCTAGTTCCCCTTAACTCTTTAGCATTTTTGCCTAGCGGCGTTTTCCTAACTTTTTTATTTCGCGAGATATTCGCATCGAAAGTTTTCAAATTTACACCCTGTATTTCTTATATTCCTACTACTTCAGATTTGGTTCTGCTAGCTTAACGGTTAAGCGCAAAACCCATGATTTTTTAAAGAACAATGTGCAAAAAAATCAGCAATAGAACAGAACCCACATTTTTTGCATAAATTGAAGGGTAATAGGGTAATAAATTATGGAGGTAAAAGATCATCACCTTGGAATCCCTGGTTCAAAGACCTGTTCTAGAGCTGTTGCCTTAAAACAAACATCCTTTCATCGTTGGCGCAAAAACCCTAACCTCCTCACTAGAGCAGAATATGTTGAAACAAGGAATAACTGCAACAAAACGATGCATCAAAAGAATCATACAATACCAAAATAAGATCAAAACTGATAGATTGTCCCAATGGCTCCCGTTCGTTTTGGTCCCTCGCTAAAGCAATCAGAAGAAATTTCGAAAATAGCAACAGCAAATTCCACCTTAGATTCCCAGGGAAGAGTGCCACCAGACATTCCACCTGTTGAAAGTCGAATGTCCGAAATCGTCTTCCGTCAACGACTATCACACGCATTCTGCTTGGTCCCAAAACGAATAAGGCTAACGGTTCTGATGGAATTCCACTCATCATTCTCAATAAGTGTGCACCAGAATCGATTTTCTGCAAGTTATTCACCATTTCGTACAAGTCAGGTATTTTTCCATCTGGCTGGAAAAGAGCTAGAGTCAATCCAATCCCTAAAAAGGGAAACAAAAGCCTTTTCAACAACTATAGGCCTATTGCCCTGTTATAAGGTATCTTCAAAGTGATGGAGAAAGTCATCAACATTGAGCTAATCAAATACCTGAAAAGCTCCATCAACTGGAGATTTACTTGTCTACCTCCCCATATATGGCAAGCTTCATAAGAAAAACATGGGGAATCTCTAGCTGTAGCGGTGGATATATCGAAGGCATTCGACCGTGTTTGGCGCCATGGACTCCTCCACAAACTGCCCACCCCATCCATGCCATCTTTTATCGAGTTTCCTTTCAGGCAGCTCCATGTGGTGGTGGACGGAGTATCGTCTGATAACATTGCCATCAATTCCGGCGTTCCAAAAGGATCAATTTTGGCAACAACATTGTTACTACTTCATATCAATGACCTATTGGGAACAACCACTTGCCCTATCCACAGCTTTGCAGAGTACTCTCCATACTGCATTCTCTTCTAGAATTCCCATTTCTACCCAAGAAACTAAGAACTTACGAAGAAGGCAGGTCAACGCTGTCAATGAAGATCTTGCTAAAATCATAGCCTGTGGAACCATAGATACTTCCACGGAAAATGTTCCTCAGAAATCTTTATCATTCCATCACTAGCAATACCAGTCAGACGAACTTGACAAGCCCCATCAGCATATCCATGCATTGTCAACCTTGAGATTTGCCTAAAAACACTTTACCAACACTTGTTCGGCAAAGCTTTGGAATTCTTTGCCAATGGAAATATTCCCAAAAACGTATAACCCCCAAATTTTGAAAAAAAACCAATACCTACCTCCTCTCCCTATCATCCCTAGGTACACAGGATGTTCTTTGAACATTATGGGAATGTCTTTTTGTGCTCTCCAGGAGATGAAAAATAAATTAGTAAATAAATGGGGCAAATTGAAAATGAAAAATTGACATGTTTCAGAGATTTCTCAGAGATTGATAGTATGGATAAAAATCAATTGATCAACTACTCTACAGGACCACTCAATTTAACGGGCACACTGTATTCAAACTCATGTGTAATATACTTTCGAATTAAGATTATTATGGAGATTTCAAAAATTGAATAATATAGAGGGTGTTCCATTTGAAAAAATTGCCGCGGTGTCATAACTCAAATATGGATCACCATGTATATTTAATTTCTTATATTTATACAGGGAGTCCGGAAATTAGCCTGCCAAACTTCACCAGCGGTTTCTACGATCAAAAATAGGAAGAAGAGTTTTATTGAACATGAGACGAGAAATGTTTCCAAACAGAGCTACAGCCCCCTGGAAAGGGTGTCCTGAAGATGATATTTCTTGAGTATTTCCGAAACTCCATATGATAAAATGGTGCAATTTGTTACAAGAACTGAATTTTCCATGCCCAATGCAGTGAAAATAAAATCATTTCAAAATTTCACTCTGGAGTACATAATACAGTGGCGCTACATTCAATATTGCTCAACATTTTTTGTATGCATATTTTTTGACAATTGGATAAGTCCTACTTGGAGTAGCAGTGGAAATGGAATAAAAATGCACAAAAATGTAAGTAGTATTTTTAATAGCCACTATGATTTGGAAATTGGCAGCTTGATGCATAAGATGCAAGCACGAAAATGATACATCTGGTCCATGTGGAACAAGTGCACCTCTTTTTATGAAACGGTTTGGTTTTTCATAATCTGATATTAAATTGTCCGAAACATATTATGCTACAAAAAAGTTTGAGCAATGTTTAATGTAGTCCCACCCTGTATTATACACTCCTGAATGAAACTTTGAAATGATTTTATGTTCACTGCATCGGGCATGGAAAGTTTAGTTCTTCTACCAAATTGTATCATTTCATCACCTGACGGAAATATTATTCAAGAAATATCATCTTCTCTCATGTTCATTGAAACTTTTCTTCCTATTTTTGGCAGGCTAATTTCAGGACTCCCTATATACATACCGGGTGATTAAAATTCGAGTAGATGCATGGGGATCTCGGAAACGGTAAGAGCTACAGAGGGGGTAATTTTATGACAAACAAAATGCCGTTTTGAACTTTGAAGTTTCGAATACGTCTGAATAAAATAATAATTAAGGTGCTTTATTGGATACCCAAAAGGCTACCGACCGAGGGCCTTCAGCCTATGTTACACAGTGATTATACATTGAGTTCAAATTCATCATTTTTGTATGTACAACATATATGGAATTAGTAAATTTGCTAGTGTAAAAAAAAAGAATAAAAGTCTATTGTGAGGGAAGAATTTGAAGGAGTTTCAGAGTTCTGAATTGATAAAGCATTCCAATAGTGTGTTTTCCGGAAATTTCCGTCTTGGGTTCACTGTTGGGTCTCTCTGTAAACACTGGAATTAGATAATTTGGAGATTGGATTTGTTTTTGGAAAACTTCAACGTTAGCTTTTTCAGTCTCTTAGAAATTGGTTGCACCCTGGTCAGCTGATATAGAAGTTCGTTTGATGGATGGTGAAGGGGATATTGAGAGTGTCGGATTTTGCTAATGGCTCTCCGGCTAGCTCTTTCTGCTACCTCCAAATTGTTCAGTGCTGACTTCCTGGTGTTTATGTATATTGGGTGAGCATACTCAAGAATTGGGCGGCAAATGGTTTTGTAAATATGTGCTGCAGTTCTTTTGCTAATTCCTTTATTCTTGTAGGTTTTGGTAACGGCTCTCAGGCTAGCTCTTTCTGCTACCTCCAAATTGTTCAGTGCCGACTTCCTGGTGTTTATGTATATTGGGTGAGCATACTCAAGTATTGGGCGGCAAATGGTTTTGTAAATATGTGCTGCAGTTCTTTTGCTAATTCCTTTATTCTTGTAGGTTTTGGTAACGGCTCTCAGGCTAGCTCATTTTGCTACCTCCAAATTGTTCAGTGCCGACTTCCTGGTGTTTATGTATATTGGGTGAGCATACTCAAGAATTGGGCGGCAAATGGTTTCGTAAATATGTGCTGCAGTTCTTTTGCTAATTCCTTTATTCTTGTAGGTTAGGCTTTGAAAATGTTTAGCCCTTGTGATGCACTTTTTTTTCATCAACTGGGTATGATGGTTAAAGATTATTTTTTGATCTAAGTGCACTCCCTAATGCCTAGTTCTCACTACATGATTGTTCATGGTTACGTATACGTCTGAATATTTTTGAAGAAAACTGTATATTCGCGGTTTTGTTCAATTTTTTTTTCTGACTAATTGAATAGATGTAGCAAAACAAATTCACATTCTCATTACTACTTTTTCGTTTCTCAGAAAATCTATTTTTTCCACATTTTGAAAAATGAATTCAAGTCCAGACACTCCTGAATGAAACTTTGAAATGATCTAATGTTCACCGCATTGGGCATGGAAAGTTCAGTTCTTGTACCAAATAACCAAATTGCATCATTTTATCACTTGGCGTTTCGGAAATATTCAATAAATATCATCTTCAGGAGCCCCCTCTCAGGGAGCCGTAGCTCCTTTAGGGGACATTTTTCAACTAATATTCATTGAAACTTTTCTTCTTATTTTTGGTCTCAGAACCCGCTGGTGAAGTTTGGCAGGCTAATTTCGGGACACCCTCATATATATACATCAACTCATCTTGGTTTCCTCTATTGACCATTTGGCTACATGAGTCATGAAACACCCTATATATATCTGAGAATATTGCAGGCAGCAAATATGTTCATATTATATCAGTCTACCTCTGTGCCATGTTTGGTGCCATTATCGAAAACAAGTTTAGTTAATCTGCTATACTAGTTTAAAACCCAAATTCAAAAGTATTGAACAACTTAGCAGAATTAATAAGAATAAATATCCATCTATTCCACATACTCACCGAATCAAGTTAAATTAGATATGACCTGGGCTTTCCAATCAGCTGGTGGGAATTTTTCGTAAATGTAATGTAAATCCCATTCTTTGGGATACTACAAAGCATGTGGCATTGTAGGTTATATCTGCAATAAAGAATATAATTAAAAATATCATATTGAATGATAAATGCATACATACTATTAAGTAAGAATAGTAGTAGAAAAAGTAGTAACAAATTTGTTGAATGCTTCAATAGGCCACTTAGAAAAGAACATGGATTTTCTCTGGACCCATGTGAAGTTGGTGCTTTTTTTCGAACTCATTTGTTTTTGGAGTTCTGAGTAGATTTGATGGGCTTCTAGGGTCCCTGACTGAAATTTTGAATAGTTTCAGCATATCCTAACTTCATGCAACGCCGTTTTTCTGGAAAAAATTAGTTGACATATTTTTCCATCCTATTATAAGGAGTTCTCAAGTTCTAAACCTATTACATCAGCAGTTCTGATGACCTAACCAGATTATGGAATAATTCCCAGGGAATAAAAAAGGAAATTGTAGTAAAGATGGCATTTCTTGTTGACATACTCCGTTTTCTTCTGTATTGAAGAAAAAGCTTTCCAGAAAAAGCTTTCATCACAATCAATTCTGCTGGAATTGGATTTGTTGTTCCTGAAGTTCATTTAATAAACAAAGTATTTTGTTTTCTTATTTCTTTTGCCTACTGTTTTTGTTTTTCTCCAGTAATAACTGAATAACTATTTCATTACCATTTATGTGCATTTGCATTTCTCCATTAGTGTAATTACTGTAATTTGGGTTATTTGAAGACAACTTCCCAACCTCCAAAGTAGTTCAAATAAAAAATAGTAGGTGAGTAATTAAATGTATGTATGAGAACCAGGAATTCACACATGTGGATGTGAAATGATGGAATAAATTCTTGTAGACACATATCTTCCAAAATTAATTCAGCTTACCCAGACCCATGTTTCTCTGCAAGAGGGAAAATCATTAGAAAATATAAAATCTCAAAAAAATCAGATGAAAAATCTTATTGCTTTAGAAAGAAATCCATATTTTTCTATTTAATCAGCTGTCATAAAGTACAGACCTCAAGAAACTAACATATTCAATAAAAAATCAACTTCATAAAAACAGAACAGTTCTGATGGGAGTTCTGAGTAGCGCTGGACAAGATCTTCAAAATATTCTTGGATAATTTGTATAAACCTATTTGATACAAAATTTATTTCAAAGAACAGTTTTGATGAGAGTTCTGAGTAGTGCTAGATCAGTCACTAAAACAAAAAAGGATTATTTTCCATCAGAACTATGCTGTTCTTTGAAATTAATGTTTAATCAAATATATTAGTTTTTTGAGGTCAGCACCTTATGACAGCTGATAAATGAAAAGTATTGATTTTTCACTGAAACACAATGAGAATATTTCAAGAAATTTGGTGCATGCTGCTCAGAACTCCCATCTGAACTGTTCATTTCTTTGGAATTAATTGTTTATCAAAAATGTTAGTTTTTTGAGGTCACCACCTTATTACAGCTGATAAATGAAAAGTATTGATTTTTCACTGAAACAAAATGAGAATATTTCAAGAAACTTGGTGTGTGCTACTCAGAACTCCATCAGAACTATGCTGTTCTTTGAAATTAATGTTTCATCAAATATATTAGTTTTTTGAGGTCACCACCTTATTACAGCTGATAAATGAAAAAGCATGGATTTCTTTCTAAAACACAATAAGAATTTTCTCATGTTTTTTCAGATTTTATATTTTCTAATGATGTTTCTACTTTTTCTCAAAAAATTTCTCTTACATAGGAAAGATATAACAATAGTATTTTACCAAGAAATGCCCCACTTATAGAAACACAACTCTTATGGTATTCAATTTTCTCAAATTATTCAATAATTTGCTTAGTTCACCAGAACTATAGATGAAATAGGTTTAGAACACCAGAACTCTTTATAATAAAAAAAAAATATATAACAGAACTCATTTTCTCCATAAAAAACAGTGCTGCGTGAAGTTAGGGCTCAAAATTTCAGTCAGGAACTCTAGAACTCAGAAGTCCAAAAAAATTTTTACTTTTTCAAAAAAAAAAATAAACGGCGCCAACTTCACAGTCAGTTTCTACAAAAAATATTGCAAGGTGAAATAATATGGAGAATAATTTCCAATATTGATAAAATGATGAATGACTCCAGAAATACTATTTGGCTGGAAGACCTTGCTTGATGGCATTTTGAGATGGATCCAATTGATTGCCCAGAGTAAACTGAGAACTTTTTTCATGTTTGGCTTTCATGGGCATCAACTCAGGCATACAATATTTTCAACACTTTTTTTTCAAAGTGACATCATACTCAGTCATGCTGAAAATACAGGGTACAAAATAAGATGATAATAACAGGAACTTGTTTATCTTCAAAATAGCCCCAACATTATCCTTTGCATTATTTATGTATGTACCAACTCTGTTCATTTCAGTTGAAATTAAAAATAAATATCCTAATGAGATGAACTGACCATAAATAAAAACTAAGTACCTTTTATTCCTCACTCTGTTCCTATGTCTAGTGAACTTCTTATTATCATCATTAGTAGGTATACATATTCAATAAGAATAATAAGATATTGAGTATAATTTATGAGATTTGAAAATTTCCCCAGCCACATGCACAATAAACTCAGACAAGACAAGTCATTAGTGAATCCTTTTCATCACACCCACTTTTGATTTTGGTAATAACCTACCTAGGTACCTGCCTACCTATTTACTTCAGGAAAATACCTATATTTATAATTTTCTAATGAGGTAGAAATATAAATAATTATACCTTGTTGAAAATAAAATTTCAAAATGTCATAGCATTTGATGATAGTGATGAGAGATGTTAGTGATATCTGATAAATAGGTTAATTTGTTAAATTTTCAATATACCCATTTCAAAAATGCCACACCCCCTCATGTTCAATTCAAGAAATATTTTTCAATAATGTTCCTCCATGTTATAATCTTCTACAAGTAGTAATGATCATTGATCAATCAGGCTGTTCTGAATAGGCTTCTCTATGCAAATTCGTTTTCTTCACTGCTGCAGCTTAATAATAATAATTCCACTTATCAGGTAGATTTTACCGATGATGCAGAATTCCCCTATCCAACTATTTCACAACTATATGAAATACCTATACAATATACAATGAAATGAATGAAATTGCAATGTTTAGAAGGATGCTACGTTCCTACAGAATTTCTAGACCTTGGGCTGGCTGGCCCGCGTAAACCATAGCTACTATTACGAGGAAAATAGTAATAGACAGAGACAACGGACGCCTTTTCATGTTCATTAGTTCTAGCTTTGGCGGCAATACGCGGGAAAAATAAATCATCTCTCCAATTGCCCTGAAGATATATATATATAAATTTACTTGAAAAAACTCGAAATTTTAGGAATATATAGCGATATTAAGATTAAAGAAATTGGATTCTTCAGTGATTTTCCAACATGGCGGGTAGTAATCTAGTCATTCAAGTGAAGCTCAATGTAACTTTCCCTAATTTACGAGAAAATTAGAACTTTTGGTAGATTATACTATACAATATCATGAGAAAAGTATTCTAATGAGTTCATTTCACATTACCTGTTTATTTTAGGAAATAATCCACATAAGAAACTCGAAAAATACGGAGAACACAACACTCCACTCACTCACTCACTTACCACATACCCGCTGCTAGCCAAGCTTGCCACAAACTGTCGTGGTCGTGATGGCGGACTTGCGGGAGCTTAATGTTGTGGAAACACTCGTTAACATCACGAAAGGACGAAAATGTTGCTGAATATTTCAAAAATACTGCAAAATTCATGTTTCTATTAACATTGGACAATCAAATTGTTCGAGAAACCGTATTTTTCTAGAAGGATTATAATAAATTACACTAGATTGAGGTCACAGAAATGGTTAGAAATGGCTTCCACGGAGCAAAAACGAGAAATACAAATTCATGAGAAAATAACGAGAATTGAAAGAACTAATTATTTCACTTTCAATCATCACGATCGTAAATCTAATGAAATAACTGAAATTCTTAGATGAAAAAAATACTGAACATCAATTTTATACCTATCTACAGAAATAAAACTTTTAAGGGGAAATTTCGAACATGATAAATTATTGCTGGCAAGTCTGGTATGCTGGTTTTAGAAATCAATAATCCCTCGCAGGATAACCTGAATTTGAAAAATTTTGATTGCTTATGGTAAACAAGATATTTAGAGAGATCATCCCATTCTACGAAAAAAAACCGGCATCGCTTTTATATTTTAAATCGAAGGAAATTGAAGTTGAAAATGTTAAAATAATTCTCTAAAAATGTTTTCATTCAACTGATTTGACTTTGACAGTTTTGACATTTTGGCTCTCATCTCATCTCATGAGGTTCGTTCCATACTTGCGTTCCATATGCGTTTTACGTCATATTTAGCCGTCATGGTTTCACACTTGCGGCTACAGACAGGAGGAAAGAAATAATCTTCGCGGTGGGGGATCGACAATGTTCGAATTCAGAGTTGTTTAATCCCACTGTTATACATATTATGTTCCGCGTACCTAAATTGGCATTTGGCTTTGGCATTTTATTTCCACTCGTCACAGCAGCAATAGAAGCATCACCAACTAGTGGGAAAATGTGGAATCAACGTCTCGCTCGTTGTGACCTAGAGAAATCATAGTAGGCCGGTCGAGTGATTTTTCTGAAATTTTCAATAAGTAATAATGGCCGAATACGCACACCATATCTTACTTCCATCATTCTTGCGAGTTGAGGGCGCCGTACATTATGCTATTTACCAGCAAGTTTGATGCAATGCAATTTTGAATCGAAGAATGCGCATGCGTCTATGATATTTCACGGCAAGTTTCATGCAAGTTTCGTAATAGAACCAGTCCTATTTTTACTGCAATTTCAAGGCAAGTTTAGTAAAATTTTAGTAATATTCATCGTAGCATCTTGATAAAATACTAATTTTCTCCATAACGTGGCCTGAAACACCAAATAACCTCAAAAAGTACATTGAAGGCTCAAAAAACCTGAAAATAGTGAATATGAACGAGAAAATATGACAGAAATATCTCAATGTACGGCAACTTGCTATAAAATGAGAAAATTGCGAGAAAATTGCATTGCCCCAAACTTGCCGAGAAATAGCATATAATGTACGGCGCCCTTAAAAAGAAAATATATACATTAAGTGCAGAAACACTCCACCAGTTCCTGACTCCCTGCCAATGGAATTCGCTCTAAATAATAGAGTGACGACAATATACCTCCAAATGGCTGTCATCCAAATTATCTGAGACTAACGAGTCCCAAAAGACAGATTCCAATTTGTTTTCATGTTCTGGTTCCACGAAAAGGGATATCCTGTGATGTTCAGAGAAAATCGTCAGAACCAAAGGAAATAAGGTAGGAATTGGTGTTCTCAAATTTCTGGACCTCCCTAATGTGTTCCAGAGCCTCGCTGCCCGTTAAAAGAACGAGTCTTTGGAAAGAGATGTTCTGCAGGTCTCCAAAGTGACCACAAAGGGATACGAAGCCTCAACTCGATGGGTAAATCTCGCGGGGACCGCCAAGGGAGGAACAATTGTTGATATTTCAGAAGAGCATCGTCCATGAAAATATCTATAAAAAAGAGCAAGATCGCCAACTTTTCTACGGTGTTCCAGAGAAGCGAGTGAGTTTGTGAGCGAGGCATCACCCACGAAACGAATTGTCCTTTTTTGGATAGAATCCAACAGTTTCAGGGTTTGGTGCTGCACTCCAAATAGGGGAACAGTATTCCAGGACAGGTCGGATCTGTGCCTTATAGATCATAAGCAGCTGACTAGAAGTGAAATAGCTCCTGGTTCAAAACAGAAAACCAAGTTTTTGGAATGCAGTTTCAGTAATTGATCTCACGTGATTTCCCCAAAAAAGGTTATTGTTGATAGTGATACCAAGCATCTAAATGGATGTCTTCAAAAGTATGGTTACTCCTGACAAGCTTATGTTGGGCAGAGTGAGATCGGCATTTCTAGAGAAAAGGCATGCTCGTGTTATGTTTGCATTGAGATCTACCAAGTTATTGGATTCCTATTCGAGAATTGTTGCCGAGTCCATATTTATGTTGTCAACATTTCTCCCTCGTTTGTTTCTGATTTGCCTGGCTGGTATTGGAGTCCTGGAAGAGAAGGCGGTATGGAGGGTAATATCAACCGCAAAGCTGTGCACTGGACAGGAAATTGCTTCCAACAAATCGTTGATATGGAGTAGAAATAGTGTTGGTGCTAGAAATGATCCTTGCGGAACACCAGCATTTATGATGAGAGAGTAAGATGAAACTCCGTCGACCACTACATGGAGAGACCTGTTTGAGAGAAAACTAGCTAACAGAGAACATAGCTGGAAAAGCAAGTCATAAGATGCAAGCTTGGCGAGGAGTCCGTGGTGCCAGACTAGATTGAATGCCTTGGAGATATCAAGTGCCACGGCTAAGGTTTCACCATATTTTTTAATAGATTGCTGCCATATATGTGACATGTAAGGGAGCAGGTCACCAGTTGATCTCATGACGGAAGCCATATTGCCTATCGTTGATCCTAATAATACCTGAATGTTCCAGGTATTTCATGAGCTCGATGTTGATAGGTTTCTCTATGATCTTTGAAATAAAAGATAGCAGTGCGATCGGTCCGTAGTTGCTAGGTAGGGTCTTTTTGCCTTTTTTAGGAACTGGTTGTACTCTTGCAATTTTCCAGTTGGTTGATATCCAAGGTACCGATGTATAGAGTTTCATGTTGAATTGTTGGGTATCCTAAATCCAAAGGGCAAAAAGTAGAGACAGAGCATTGACCTAGTGAAATGTTTAACTGAATAGAATGAACAAAATAGGTGGATACACCTCCATATTAGAGGTCTGACCATTATTGTCGTCACTCTTTGGAAGTCTGTTGTCTTAAAGTGGCTAGCGACACGAATTCCACTTTGCTTTGTGACTTTCCTACGATAGCCAAGTGACCTAAGTGACCTAACAAGCGTCTAACTAGACCAGCGGATCATTCAAACATCGAGGTCAAGTGACGTCACCCAGAACACAACACATGATATTTCTTCCTTCTTTATATTGAGAAACTTCAACTACTACGAGTAAAGCGATAGATCAGTGGTCTGTGTATCTGAATTCCACGGTGGTGACTGAAATTCAATCTCTGCAAGGCGTAAATTTTTCTCGATTTTTTTTTTCACCTAATTAACATTTCCAAAATATACTTTTCAGGAAGAAGGTTCATTTAAGACGAGTAAAATTGTAAGAACTTTCGGTTTTCATGCAGAAGAGATATTGTCCTTCCTTATATTACCTTATATTCTTCCTGATAACCTTGAGGTTTGAAAGATTCGCTGGTCTAGCTAGACGCTTGTAGTGAGCTACGTGCGCCCGTTCATATTGAGAGATCCCGGGTTCAAATCCCTACGCTACCTTCCTTTTTCCAATTTTTTTTCCAAGTTTCATTTTGCTTCCTCCCTGAAAAATCTGTTCCGAAATGTGAAATCATACATACAGTGCTGTAATTCGCAACACGGTTTCATGGTTTTCATTAGTCATCAGCAACAGTTGATCAGCTGGTGAACTAATGTCTCGTTCAGCAGAACTAGATATTATTCTCAGCGTCAATTATTTTGATAACAGGCATTTTCTGGTTATTGAAAATAATATTATTAATTTATTATTGATACAACAACGAGAATTGTGACATTCCTTTCCCAATGAAATAATTTACTGTGAAGCCACAGTACCTTTTGATAGGCTAGACGCTAGACTCAGCTGAAAATCTGTGTTCCGAAATATAAAATCGGAAATTCAGTGCTGTAATTCGGAACACGGTATCATGGTTTCCATCAGTAATCAGCAACAATTGATCAGCTGGTGAAATTTGAATATTATTCGTTCATCTTTTCAATAACAGAAATTTCCTGATATAAAATATGATATTAGTAATTTATCATTGACAAGACAAGGTTTAATGTTTGAAAAACAACGAGAATAAATGTGACATTCCTTCCCCTTTTAAAATAATGACAGTTCACTGAAGAATCACAGTGATTTTTCAAAAATATACTTTTCAGGAAAAAGGTTCATACAACCTAGCCGCTTTCCAATTGACAATTTTTCACCCCTGAAATGAACCGGTACTAACCTACACTTGAACTGAACCAGGATGTTGTAATTGGAGCATAATTTTTTTCCGAGTAATCTTATGTAGTATTTTTATGATGGAAAAACTTGTGGTGTGACTTTGGTAGGTGTAATGTCTCATTCCGCACATTTTATACTTACTATAACCCACAGAAAATGATGCTGAAGCAAATTGAATTACTATAGAGTAGGGTGAAAATTCTAATGATGAGGCTGAAGTGGATATCACGATACAATGTTGTGCTTTGAGCTTTATGAGGTAGACCTTCGCTGGTCCTCCTAGTCCACTGTACTCCGTTTTCTGGATCATCTAGGTATTTCCTAGAGATACATTCCACTCATAGTTTTGTATTTGATAGGGTTAAACAGACACCAGTTATTAATGATAAAGAGAAGGTCGTTCAATAATAATTATGTACAGGGTATTTACTTAGTTTTTGTAATTATGATCCGATTCTATTCAAAATTGAAAGGTATCTGGGGTTTTCTGGGGTTGGAGATAATGATTGTTCCGTCAAACTTGTAAAATTCAAGATGACGGATTCAATATATAGCGAAAGAAATTTCTAATTATGATCTGATTCTATTTAAGATTGGCATCTGTTCGGGGTCGAACTTCATGATTTTTCGTCAGAATTGGAATGGCGAACGAATTTTGTAATCAGATTCTATTAGAAAATCAAAATTGGTATCTGGTGATTTCCGGGGTCAGAGATTATAATTATTTCGTCAAAATTGGGATATTCAAGATGGCGAATCCAGTATGGTGGACGAGTTTTGTAATGAAGATCCGATTCTATTCAAAATTGGTATCTGGGGGTTTTCGGGGTAGGAGATAATGATTGTTTCGTGAAAATTGAAAAATTCGAGATGACGGATCCAATATGGCGAAAGACATTAGTTTATATAATTATCACTCTACCACAAATAAAAAATATGTAGGATGCAAGAGTGAAAATATCGTGCCTATAAGTTATACTGCGTATACCTACTTCTTTCATACTTTCATCAATAAATTATTTGAAAATGACTTATTATTCAAGAGAGACGGAAAAATCAGGTGAAGTATATTCTATTCATTATTTTCATACACATTTTACGTATTACTTTTTATCAGCCTATTTTTCGTCCTAGACGAAGTTTTATAGTGTGATATTAGGAACTCCATGAGTTCTTGAGTTGGATTTCAGAAAATATATTTAGCACACATGATATGAGTACAGTTAGCTTAGATACCCACATCGAGGTTTCCACCATTTCTCAATCATAAGGCTCTGCTCATTCAGCTCATAGATAAACAACTGCTCAGCTCGAAATCAGAATTCATTCAGTCGATTCAGTCAACCCTGGTATACAGTCTAAGAACAGTTTCTTTTGGTGAAATATATCAAGCTTTCAGTACAATTCATATGTTCCCTACCTCTCGAAGATTATGCTGGAGTAGTAAACTCTGAAACTAGAGAATTGTTCATCTATATCTTGGTATGATTGGATCAGGAATTCCATATGGAAATCACGTATGATACGCCAGTGACCTCAATACCCTAGTTAATGTTAAGATGACTTTAACGTCAATTTCCATCAAGGGACCCTAGTCACCGGTAAAGGCAAATGAACTTTTCGCCCTCTTCTTTATTTTGCGGAACCCTGAATATTTTATGTATGAGTATCAGCTCTGATCGAAGAAATATGGCCCAATATATCAACCTTTGAAGATTATTAAGGGATTTCAGTTGAATTCGGAATATAGTCATGGAAGAACTACTCAAGGGGGATCTATAAAACGAGTTTTATATCATGTGCTGAGGAGTTCCTGAGGAATCCTTAGATGAGGAAGACTCGAGGAATTCTTGAGGAAATGACTATGAATCCGGGCCTTAGGATATTCGTTGAGGTAGGCATCTTAGTTGAGGTTGTTGAGGTGATAAGTAGCCGTGGTTCTGCGCTGTAGCGTTCCCCCACCGTTATGATTATTATTTTCCTCCTGTCTGTAGATGGAACCTAGCAACCTAGTAAGCAAGGTTGGTAGAACTGATGATTATACAAATTATAATCAGTTCTACCAACCTTGCTAGTGAGAGTAGAAAGTGAGGTTAAGGTTGCTGAGATACTGAGTGAAGAGGTGAGGTGAGGACTGAGCAACTGAGGCCCCGGAATGTGAATGGAGCGAATCTAGAAATAAAATATTTGAATATGGGTAAAAAGAGGAAATTGAATGAATCTAAAGATGACGAATTCGAGTTTGATCCTATACCTAAGCATTTAGTAGTAAAGCACTTGAAAAACCAAGAAAAGCGGTTGATTATCATATTAGAAGATGCCCAATTGGAGAGTGTCAAGGTAATTTTTTATGCTATTCCAATGGTTATTGTCTTAAATAGTTCGAATTTTTAGGTTGGAAATAAATTTGAATTATTGAACTGTGATGACCATACAAATATTTTGAAAAACAATAATAGGGATGTAGGATCTTGTAGACCTGATATTACCCATCAGTGTTTGTTGATGTTATTTGATAGCCCTCTGAATCGAGCTGGGTTGCTGCAAGTATATGTTCATACTGCTAATAATATTCTCATTGAAATAAATCCACAGACAAGGATACCAAGGACATTCAAAAGATTTGCAGGACTAATGGGTAGGTAATTAATAAAATATTTATGGTCTGTTCATAGCTCATACTTAATTTTAACTCATCTTAAGAGTTCAAGCATTTCTATCTCCCAGATGTATTCATAGAACCTCATTGAACTTACATATTCAACTTAGTCAATTTCTCATGGAAATAAAGCTGAGTGGAAATTGAATGTAAATGAACTAATAATGAGAGTCTATGAACAGACCATTAATAGTTTCATAGTATAATAATTTTCATTAATGAAGCTGTGCATGCCTCACAATAATATAGTTTTTTGAAAACTGTTATCAAATGATGACATTTTCATTAAAATATCAGTTAGCAAAGTGGCTCTTTTCTGTCACTCAGCTGATATTACTTTTTTCTGCAATTGGATCAAAAGTCCTCCATTTTCGTTCTGAAATCAGCTCTTGAAGTTGATGGACCCAATAAAATGATTAGTATGTTTGTTGCTAGGCAACACTTTCAGTGTCTAGGAGCTAAAGTTGCAGTTCAACTCCTAGGAACAACTAAAAACATGTCAGATGATAGCTGCTTTTCACTGATGTAATTGACTTTATCTTTGGACTTTCTCTTCCTCCGACAAATTTCAGAACCCTACCTTAATAATTACATGAGATACAGGGGTGCTTCCATAAAAAATGCAACAAAATTTCATTTTTCCAAACTGAAAATTTTCCAGGAAAAATTTGAATAGTTAGTAAATTGGGCGTCCTGATTCCAAATCTGAAGTGATTTTCGACCTATTTTGACTCCTAATATCATTTTCCGGAAATTGGGGTAGTTTCATGGCTGTTGGCTAGCAGTGTATATCACTGAAGATGACCCCACTTGGTCATAGAGTGCATTTTTGGTATATCTCTCGCTCCAGCAAATTTCAGGATCCTTACCCAACAATTACATAAGATACAGGGGTGGTTCCATTAGAAGTGGGTGACACTGTATAATTACAAGATGATGTAGCACTACTGATAGGGTTGTTGCTCGAGGATAAGAAGGTTGGTGGTTCGAGCCCCTTGGTGATGTTACTTTTTTTAAATTATTTCATGTCACATAAATTCAATTTATTTTGATTGAATTGGATAGCAATTGTATACACTCTTTTGAGAGCAACCATCTCCAAGATAATAAAAAATATATACTGTTTATCAAAATTGTACATTCCACTTTGTGAATCACTATAAGTAGGTAGAGGGCCAGGTAGCCGTGCGGAGAGAGTGTCTATATTCTAATTCGCATTCGCTTGTCGGTCGTGGGTTCGATCCCCGTCGACTGCAGAAATTTTTCTGATGGCCCAAGAAAGTGTTTGGGATCACACGTTAAAAGGTAAGGCCCCCGTCATTCCTTGCTCGCACAAGACTTTCGAAGACTTTTGAGGGTTGCTCGTAAGGGGGCAACCGAATGACGGATAGAACAAATTTTAGAACAAATTTTAGGTAGTTAATTTTAAAGAAAGTGAATTCTGTATTTCATTACTATCATTATGTTCTCCTTCGCAGTTTGAGTTGGAATATACTCAAATTGTTTCCTATTTCTTATACATATATATATTGTCTCATTCAATCATGAAATAGTCATAGGAATACAACTCGTGATACTATTTTTCCTGGAAATATTCTTGATTGACATACTCCAGCTTGCTGCTCTAATTTCGCTCATGACATTGATCCAGAACTACTCGCCTACAGCTCCTAGTTTTGATAACAATGTCATTCACGAAATTACTAAGCAACAAGCTGTAGTAGGAATCACTGAATATTTCCGGCAAAATATTATCACTTGTGGTATTACATATGAGAAAATAGTAATTTATGAAAAGTGAAATGTATAACCTGTCAACAGAGATGAAATTTCAAACTTCGTTACCGTCACAGGAAAAAAATAAAAAAATCACACCAACTATATATCAGAAAAGAGGCTCCTACGCATATATTTTCATGACATTATATCTTAAAAAAAATAGTTATATATGCAACAAGTGCAAAAAGTGAATGTTTCACGTCGAGTGCAATAAACATTCACTTTTTGCACTTGTTGCATACAACATTTTTTCTACGTTCATGCAAAAATGATTTATTGAGGTGCGGCACTAGGTGTAGGAAAATGAAAAACGCAACTTGAATACTTTATTATTAATATCGATTTGCTTCGAAACAGGAACTAATACGTTATGAACAATTTAACTCAAACTTTATTTTTACCCTCAATGAGTGAATGATCAATTTGTGCAATTTTCAATATGAATATAAAATATGATGTTTCTATAACCACAGTTGCAATATAAAAAATGTTTGTCATGATGACAGCACGTTGAAATAGAATGACATATGAGTGCAATAAAGAACTTCTTTTTCCACTATATATAGTTCAATAAAGTTCTGCTTTTTGCATGAATGCAGAAAAAAACAATTAGCGGGTGTTATGGGTCTGTTAATAGCAACCGTTGCCAAAATAAAGTATTATAAGAATTTATTCCAAGGAATACAGACGTACAGTCGTATTCAATAAAAAAGCGTGCAAGTATTAAAAAGAGAGGATTTTGGGATCCTAGTTCTAGTTGTGTAAAACTGGTTCAGCCAATGCTTTGTGTTTTCGAGAACCTATAACAACTTTACTGTCAACATTTGGTGAACAACCATTCCTGATAGCCCGTTTTATGCAAAATAGGATGACGTTAATTTCTCTCTGTTATAGAGGCTATATTCCGAATTCAACTGGCAGTACTGAATCTGCTGATTTTCCATTCCGAAATCGAAAAATTCACTGGAAGTGACAGATGCTTGTCAGCAGACATACTATTCATTCCAAATATTTCGACTCAACATTCTGCTGAAGTTGCTGAGGCTATATTCCGAATTCAACTGGTCAGTACTGTAAGTTGATCCACTGACTTTGCTGAAAATCTGTGTTCCGGAATATAAAATCAAAAATTCACTACTGTAATTCGGGACACGTTTTCATGGTTTTCATCAGTAGTCGTTTATCTGAACTAGATGTTTAGCCTCCTACTTGTTATAAATTTTTGAAATTTAATATTAAACATGGAAGAGAAATCGATTCTTGTATCCTCTATAGTTTCTACGATTGTTACGATTGTTGACGATGGCGATTCAAGCTCGAGTGATGAAGAATACTTGGACATTTTGTAGCCATAAATTTCTCATGATGCACCAGATTGAGAATTGAGATTCATGAAAATCGCAATATGCCTTAATAATGATGAATTTTAGGAGACATTCCAGGTTTATTCAGTTTATTTAGCCAATGCTGCTATTTTTCTTACCTGCTCTACTACTTCATACTCCAGGTATTTTCTGATATTGAGAATCATTTCATTAATAATGGAAATGAATATTTCATTCCTTCCCCCTCTTGAATATGACAGTTCACTGAAGCCACACTAGCTCTTGATACTCAGCAATTCCAGCAGAATGTTGAGTCGAAATATTTGGAATGAATAGTATGTCTGCTGACAAGCATCTGTCACTTCCAGTGAATTTTTTGATTTCGGAATGGAAAATCAGCAGATTCAGTACTGTCAGTTGAATTCGGAATATAGCCTGAGCAATGACGGCTAAATGGACTGTCTGACGGGTTATACATGACTGTTCATTCAGCGAAAATCTCCAAATCCCCCTGTAATGAAATTTTGAAGGGACGGCAAGTGGCGTCATCTATTTCCTGTGTCAAATGAGCTTTCAACATAACCTGCATTATTTTTTGACGAATTTTCTCACTGTCAGCCTGTCACTCATTGTCACTCGAGATTGGAGAGCTTTGTTCGAGATACCAAGTAAAACTGTGAAAAGGCCAACAAAATGAAGTGGTTAGGAGTGTTCATGCCAAATAACGCTATTATATGCATAAATAATAATGCCATTCAAGTGGAAATCATCTTCGTCAATTCGTGAATAGGTAAGGACATGTTCAATTATTTCATTGATTGAATTTTTAACTGCCTAATAAGAGCTATGGTAGCCCTAATAACCAGATACTGCTGTATTCTCAAAGTGAAATGTACTGCAACATTTCATATTGTTTCACAAAATCTGTGATCTCAAGTGATATTTCTTAATTTGTATTTTCAGGAAGATACTGAATTTTCTCAACACAATGTTGAAGCAGCTCTTCATGAGGTTTGATTGAATGATGACTGGAGACATTCAATTCTGATGATGCAATCTATGCATAACCAGAATATTTACTATATGGTGAGCTTTGTGAACAGTTGTTTAATTTGGTGAGGGTTCAGAAAAATAATCAGGCATTTTAACTACAATATCAGGTATCTCCATGGATAGCAAATTGAATATCAATTTATCATTTCATACTTATATATTTCATATCAGATATACAGATAAATTGTATTGCAAAATTGATAGAACTATGCCAGCTTCAGAATCATTAAATGTTCTATATCAACATTTCTTCATAGGTTCTGGGGATGGCAACACAATAAATATAAAACGGCTTGGATATGGGATCTTGACTTTTGAGGATGAAGCTAGGTTACCTGGAGATTCTTTGGACACTGGAAATAAAAGAGGAAGATGATGAGAGAGAGAAGAAGCATGTTTGGAGTTCAAATATAAGCTCATCATGAGCTGATTTAATGGAAAAGGATATTGTTTATTATGGTGACTGTCTATGAAATAAAATTATTATTATATTACTTGAATAAATACTTTCTATACGTATCATCTATCTATCTATCAATCCATATTTTTCAACCATTTTCGAAACTTTGTGGAGACAGAAATAGTTATATGCATTTCAAAAGTTGAGTTTGCACTCTTTTCATCTTTTTAGATATACTTGGGGAAGCTATAGTTAGTGGGCTAGTATCAGTGACAACATTTTACCTTAGGCCTGTTCGTTTGTGCTTGGTCTGCCTGCTAAACTTGATTTTTTTTTTATGACTTTTTCTGTTTACATCATGCTATGAACAGAAACAACTATGGGAAAAAAATCAACCTCAGCAAGTTTAGCAATACAAACAAACAGGCTTCTTATTTCACATACCATCTAATACTTCTATCAAGAAAACAAGAAAGTTATACAGGATCTTATTGATAGATGGGCATACATAATACATATAAACTTAGGCCAAATAATTAATTTAAATTTTTTGTGACAAAATCATCACAGCAGTGGAAAACATTTTTGAAAATCTCTGATAGTATCTTTATTCTGTGATATTTGCCAGGAAGCAGGAACACAAAATACCTCAAATTGTAGTTGTGGCACTCGAAAAAACTCCAGATGTTGGCCTAGACTGATGATTCTCTGGGATTCAAAGCGCATACCTTCAATTCCATTCTTCTTTCATTCTTGGTGTTGCTTCCCATCCTGTAGGTATATGGTAATTTAAGTTTGAATACGTTGCATTGATGGGTTGAACCATCAGGCTCACATGAAACAGTTTTCAACAATACTACTCCTACCCTACCTAGCTACGCAACAACAATGCAGACTAAACATACCTTGTAAATTATGGTAAGCGATCCTTTCTGAATGTATGTCCCCATCCTGATAAGTCGCCATATGTATAGTGCTATATCGATCATCACTCTATAGTGTCTTCCAAAATCATTGACACAAACTTCAACACTAGAATTAGCACCAGTGTTCTAATGGTGGAATTGAGGCTAAAATTGAAAATCATCAGAAAGGTGTACATGAAAAATCATATTCTTACCAATGCCTTCCAAAATAAAATTCGACCATTCTCGCTGTGGAAGTTTATCACTGGGTATGAGATTCGAAAAAGCAAACCCCATATTTGATACGATTATTCATACATTTCATTTCATACGCTAGAAGGCTGTAAATACATGATGAAGACACAACTAGCAAACCTGAATAAATAAACTACCAGAACTAAACACAAAGAAGAATGCTTGATTGAATGAAAATCCGAAAAAGTAAAGGAATTTATCGATATTCAACAGAACACATCAGGGACCTGACAGTGACACAGTTTTGACACTTGATAATAATAATAATAATTCAATATAACCTATGTTATTGGAAAACAACCGAATAAGAGCTAAACAAATGACTTCTCCGCAAAGGACGGCAAGTAAACCCCTCTGGTGGAGAATACACTGAACTGAGTGATTGGACAGTCATGTAGTACTCGTCAGACAGTCCATTTAGCCGTCATTGGCCTGAGTATCAAAAGGTAGTGTGGCTTCAGTGAACTGTCATATTTTAGAGGGGGAAGGAATTTAACATTCATTTCCGTTATTAATGAAATGATTCTCAATATCAGAAAATACCTGGAGTATGAAGTAGTAGAGCAGGTAAGGAAAGGAGCAGCATTGGCTAAATAAACTAAATAAACCTGGAATGTCTCCTAAAATTCATCATATTGCGATTTTCATGAATCTCAATTCTCAATCTGGTACATCATGAGAAATTTATAGCAACAAAATGTCCAAGTATTCTTCATCACTCGAGCTTGAATCGCCATCGTCAACAATCGTAGAAACTATAGAGGATACAAGAATCGATTTCTCTTCCATGTTAAATATTAAATTTCCAAAATTTATAACAAGTAGGAGGCTAAACATCTAGTTCAGATAAACGAGAAACTACTACTGATGAAAACCATGAAAACGTGTCCCGAATTACAGCAGTGATTTTTGATTTTATATTTCGGAACACAGATTTTCAGCAGAGTCAGTGGATCAACTTACAGTACTGACCAGTTGAATTCGGAATATAGCCAGACTTGTACTCTTTTTTTTTTAATGCGACTGTACATTTGAAAATAAACATTTGAACTTTTGGTGGCGGACATCATTCTTCATTTTATTCGAAAAACAAAAAAATAGCTCTTCCTGAAGATCCTGATCAGGATAATGGAACAACACTATTAAATTATCACTCTGTGAAAAGTATAATGAATAACTGATTTTGTCTTCCTACACTTGAACAACCTTTCTGCTAAAACACATTTTCAGAAAAACATCTATTTGAATTCTGTTCAAAAGTTATATTTTCTCTACAAACCTTTCAATTTATGGTACTTGCCACTGAATCACCTTGTAAAAGTTGAGTTGACTAATATCTCATGTTTTATTTTCAGTGCAACTTCTACACAAATTTTCAATAAGGGCAGAAAGTGGGCCAAAGCTGATGAAAGTAATTAAGAATCCTATTTCTGATCATCTTCCTGTTGGAATCAGAAAACTTGCTATGTCATTTTCTTCAAAACAGGTGAAAACTTGTAGAGATTTGGTGCCCAAAACGGAAGATCCCATTGCAATAGTTGTAGGAGCAATGGCAAGAGGTAGCATTAATGTTGATTACACAGAAGAAACTACATCCATAAGTAATTATCCCTTATCAGCTGCTTTGACATGTACTAAATTGTGTTCAGCATTTGAGGAGGCATGGAATATAATTTAGAATAATATCAGTATTTTTAATAAATACACAAACTTTTTGTTTATGGTATTGTGTCTGAAGAAAATCTACTCAAAATAGGCATTCAAAATAGGTAGGTAGCAAACGTTGGATGCTGGTGATCATGATCATATTGAATCATTGTCATAAAGATGATTATATCAATCCGAACATTTTGGGAAATTGAATTGCTGTTGATGCATATTTTCAGTAAGTAGGCTACTCAAACATCCAACAGAAACTTCCGGTTTGTCAGTAGCAATATTTCAAATAGGTGAAGATTTGGGGAATGTGAATGAATATTCAGATGAAAAATTGTACCCAAAGTACCATAATATAACACTGAACGTCAAAATAATCTATTCACTCAAAATTTCGATGAAGTTTGACCAAAAATAAGTTTTTTCTACAAACGTCAAAAAATGACAAGGTTCGTGCATTGAAAACAAATTGCGAAGTGATACTTTTTTCAGTTTCCTACGTTACCATGATACCTTGCACCTAACAATGCGCGAAGTAAAACAGTGCGCGAAGTACCTACTTCGCGCATTGTTATGTAAAATATATGAGATATTTATATTTCAACTTTACGGTCCTCAATCGAGCAAACATCCACGAAATCATCTATTTCTGAATGTTCAACAATAACTTTGTTTTATCTCTTGGAGCGCACGAAAGGAAATTCCTATTATGTTAGTGGAACATCGTGCGTACCTAGGGAGGATATGGGGAGGCCTTTTAAGCCAGTTCAACACTATTTTTTTATCAAGCTAAGCATATTCTTACTTTAGAACTATATTTTTTGACGTTTGTAGAAAAAATTTTGTTTGCAACTCGAGCGCGAAATACTTTGATCATCTCGACTATTTTTTTAACTCGGTTACGCCTCGTTAAAAAAATCAGATCTCGATCACCAAAGTAGCATTTCGCGCTCTAGATACAAAAATAACTATTTCGTCAATCTCTACTTAAAAATCATATTTTATGTTCTAATTCCCGAACGAAAAACCGACCATTTCCGAAGGCAAGTACTTTTCGTCCGCTACAGGGTTGCCAGTTCTACTGAATTTTCAGTAGATCTCCTGATTTGCATATTGATCTACGGATCTACTGAAAAATATTTTGACACTCATTAATTATTATAATTACCCATATTATTATTTATCTTTAGTTGATCACATACACTTATCAATTGCATAATATTTCGGCACGCTCTGTTTACATTAATTTTACAAAATAAGTAATAAATTTACATATAGGTACTAATATGTTCAAACCAGAAAGAGGACAATACTTGATCTGATTCAGATCAAATTCAATTTTTCATGTATCTCTGATATAACAGTTTGTTTCTTACGTTCAATTTTTTGTATTCAATAATTATAATAATAAGTACGTTTATTATATACCCACCTATACTTTACATAAGTTGAGTTAAAAAACTATTTCCATATTAAGTAGGCAGATAAAAGGCATATGGTTCAGACTTCAGAAGGTAAACCTCTGAGGCTGTTCTTCCATCCAAGCCTACATAAGTTTATTTTGATAGTGAATGGTCACCAAATTAGATAAAATATGTACCTACTAGTTGAAGAACATAGAAAGAGACTCAGAAGATAAGCGAGAAGAGAGATACGATAAATAGAAGGAGAAGGAGAGAAGATAATAGAAATAGAGAGGAAGAAAGTAGAATTTAAGTATCTAAAATACACGGGAAAAATATTAGGTTTTACCTCACGGTTTTTTGTCTCCCTGCGCTACTCGTTGGGAAATAACACAACCTCGAACTGAACTCTATAACTTTTTTCCCCTTGTATAATAAATAACTATTTTTCTATGTCAATCCTATACCCCGATACGAAGTTATTACGAAACTAAGGATACAACACTCTTCAAACACATATTTTTCTAATGAGCCACTCCACAACAACATAGTGAAATTTCAGCCAATCCGACCAAGAGCCAATTTTCCATGTTTTCGTGCGGGGTCCTTTGGATTCAACTCAATTTTTTATTGTTTCATCTAAAACTAAGCCAGGTACAAAAGTAACACAAGGGACAAGAAAGCTGTATTTTCAATTGTCCAATCTGATCAAAATATGAAACTTAGAGAGGTATATCATATTTCTGTTCTTCAAAGATTTTTTAAAACTAGGTGTCACTGGCAATAGATTGAATTCTTCTTTCAGGCAGTATAATATTAAACTTTTTGAACGCGGTGACATTGTGAGGCAAATCATCTGATTTGTCCCCACTCTAGGTATATTGAAATAAAATGCATATTTTTATTATACAGGGTGGGGCATTAGTGCGTCGGTGCTAGATTGCTCGAGTTTCACGATAGCTAGAAACTTGATTCAAAACCGAATGTGAATGAGACAGCTAGACCCATAACATATACAGGGGGGCACCGAAAAAAATATGGAGGGTCAGGATAACTTTTCTTAAATGCCCTTTATATTAGCAAATTTTCTGAAGCATCAATGTGACCTCCATCCACTCCTATAATATCGTTGACTATATCTCGATCATTTCAAAGTTATCGATTGTTTTGTCGAAATAATGTATCTGCTGATGCATACCAAAAAATTTTTTTCGAGTTTCAAATGGAACACTCCATATATTTTTCGGTGATTTGGTGTAAAATCGAAACACGATCATATTTTATCTCAACATCGTAACCATTTTTGAGTTATTGAACTTCAAAAATTATAGGTTGGCCATTTTCATCCATACACATTTTCATCTGTTATTAAAACATTAAAAGTCCAATTAATAATTTATAAGTTAAACTGGACCTTTTATAGAAAGAATTGATAACAGAATCAAAGCAAACAGAAATAGTTCATATGCTAGTTAGTCACAGTGAAAAAGAACAAAATTTCCATTTTGCATAATTTCATGTCGATAGTCCATTTTGTATTTAATGTGCTATGAATTTATGGGATATTTTAAAAATGGAAAGTTTTTCCTTGTTTACTTTGTAAATTGTTTCAATTCTTTCGATAAAAAAAACTGGTTTAGTAAATTATTGATTGGACTTTCAATGTTTTAATAACAGACAAGATGTCTATCGATGGAAATAGCCAACCTGGAATTTTCAAAGTACCATAACTCAAAAATGGGTACGAATATCAATATGAATGTTGAGATAAAATATAGTAGTGTTTCGATTTTACACCAAATTGGCCAAAAAATGTATGGGGTGTGCCATTTGAAAAACTCCAGAAAAATAATTTCGAAAAGTTCCGAATTGAAACATCATTTTCAGCTACCCTGTATAATTTGAGGGCATGGCAATTCTTCAGAAATCTCACGCATCTTTCCATCAGATATTATGATCGTGCTCTCTTGAATTTCATAATTGTGACGACAGTGATTTTTTCGGTATGCATTTGCAGATGACATCCGACAAAAAAATATTAACTTTGATATGATCGAGATATAGTCAACGATATTATAGGAGTTGATGGAGGTCACAGCATAGGGATGCTTAAAAATATGTGATAATATACAGGGCATTCAATTTAGAAAAAGTGGACCTTGTCTCATTCACATTCGATTTTCAATCAAGTTTGTAGGTATCATAGAACTCGAGCAATCAAGCTCCTATAGAAAGTAGGAGAAAATCCCAAAAAATCGTATTTTATAGGATGGATCTGGAATATCCCTAATATTCCATTCCAAGTCAATTCTTGGATAATAATTAGTCATTTCATCAACTTGTTCACTATGTATAATGGGTATTCAACGGATCAATCTGTTTTCAAAATGTCTAAAATAATACAAAAAATAAAATCACTTTTTTGTCTAGTATAACCAGCTCACAGTATTTCTAAAGAAACACACACACATAGATATTTATTTATTCAAACAATACAATAAAATTTATCTGGATAGTGATGACGATTTTCCTAATATGTCTCATCATCATGAGCAAGTATATTTTCCCAATATTTTGAGATTCACAAAACTATCAGATTATAAAAATGATTCTACAAATACCTATCAATAAACATTTTTTAAACATTTTTGAAGTTAACTAAAAACATATTGAAATAAATAATTCAACATGAAAACTTATTCTTGCACTACAATCCCCTTCTTAGAGTTGGCTTGATGAGCTTGAAGAACAGCAATGGCTTCTTCAACTTTTGCCCTCAAGGAATCCTTATTCTCAATCATGTGAATTAATTCCGTATTATCAATTTCTAGAAGCATCCCAGTTATTTTCCCTGCTATATCCGGATACATTTTTTCCACAACTCTGAACAGTTTTTCTCCGATTATTTGCTTCTGCTCGTGCGGCCCTGCTGAAGCTAGAGAATTGGAGTTTATGGAAATGTCCCCTCCATTTCCAATGCTCACATTCATTGGTCTCATGGTGTTGTTCGTGGAACTGGTATATTTGCTATTCGGCCTGGACGGAGGAGTTTGCTGGCCTGTGATTGGTCGAGCGTGCATCTGGCGTACATTTATGGAAGACCTGGAGGACGCCCTGTATGGCGAATTCATCAAGGACAAGCTGTAGGTGCCATTCGGGCGGATGGCGTTCGGGACAGGCCATCGTGGGGCTGGTCTCATGTGGTTCAATGGGTTCATATGGTTGAAAAATCTCGGACCTTGGGCGATAGCTGGTATAAGGAATGGCGGGGTGGTTGTAGGGAAGTTGATACTGTTCTGATGTCGCAGGGCTTGGGCTCTCTGCAAGTATTGGTTGTTCAGGAAAGCCCTTCTGTCTTCCTTTCTTTGAGCCAGTGAGACGAACAGAGGTTTGCTACCGACGATTCTGCCGTTCATTTCCGTAACTGCTTTTGTCGCCTCCTCTGGACAAGTGAAACAAACAAAACCAAATCCTTTACTTCTGCCATTTTCAGTCATAACCTTTGCTGATGTTATTGTTCCATAGGAAGAGAATTCTTTGCGCAGTTTATCGTCTTCAAAGCTGTCGTCCAGATTCTTGATGTAGAGATTGACACCTTGGAAACGGTTGTATCTTTCCATTCTCAATTGTTCATATCGTCTCTTGAGTTCATTTATTCTTTCAGTTTTTTTCTGTGCTCTTCCCACATACAAAATATTTCCATCAAACTCCTTGCCATTCCATTCCTGTACAGCTCTTTCTGCTGCTTTGGGATCAGCAAAAGCAACAAAGCCGAAACCCTTTGAAGATCCGTCCATGTTTCTCATTACTACAATACTTGTAATGGTTCCAAGCTTGTGAAACATTTCATAAAACTTGTCATCGGACATATTTGGACCAAAGTTCTTCACATAGATATTTGTGAATTGTTTTGCTTTTTCTCCCAGTTCTTTTTCTCTTTCAGTTCTTGGTATGAACTTTCCCACATAAACTTTCTTGTCATTCAAAAGCATTCCATTTACTTTTTCTATAGCCTTATTTGCAGCTTCTTCGCACTCAAAATGAACAAAACCATATCCTTTTGAATAACCATTCTCGTCCAGAGCTACTTTGCAACTAAGAATGCTTCCAAATGCAGAAAAAGTATCATACATCGCCTTATTATCTATGTTCTTGTCAAGATTCTTGATAAATACGTTTCCAAGTCCAGATTTTCTCAAGGCAGGATCTCTCTGGCACCACATGATTCTTATTGGTTTCCCTTTGAGAAGATCAAAATTCATTGTATCTAGGGCTCTTTCTGCATCATGAGTTTGACTGAAGTTAACATATCCATATCCAAGAGATTGTTTGGTTCTTGCATCACGACAAACTCTCAAAGACAGTACCTGACCTGCTGTTGTGAATTTTTCATACAACATTGCTTCTGTTATATCTGGATCCAGATCTCCTACATACAGAGACCCAGTTGGAAAAATTACTCCTTGGGGAAGGTTCATTTTGGTTCTTATATTATTTAACACTATTAATACAAAATTCACTTATTAATTATTTGAGTAGACAAGTTACATTTTTTTTCACGACTTTTTCAACAAAAATATCTTGTTTACATACACTTGGCGACGATCAGACAAAATTTAACAAAAATCATAGCCAACTCTGAAGAGGGAAGATGGAGATGTTCGAACAAGTCATAAATTTCAAACAAATGGCGCAATTTTTACACCAATGAAAACTCATGAACAATGACTGACATTACAAGAATAGACTTTCATTTCATAGAACATAAATTACAATAGATCATTTCGTTTGCATGAAAAGTGTAGCACTTTCTTACACTTCGTGTAATATATACCTAAGAGGCATCCATAGTCCTGAGGCATCTCATTTATACTTTATACCGTACTTTCACACACTAGCAGATCATGATTATGAGAGAAATAAAATATTTCATAAATTCGGTTACTGAGAGAGGGGTCACACGAGCGTTTAAATGACGGACGTTGTAACGCGCGTTGTAGCGGACGTTGTAGAATAACACCAACACCAGCGTGATATGCGTCGGTCACACCACCAACGCGCGCTCAACTCGTCGCGCGTTATTCATTGTCAACGCTCAGCACCTCTAGTACGCCCGTTGGTGGACACAGCGCGCGTTCTTGTTCAACACATGGTCAGATATACGTAGCCACACGATATTCAATTTAACGCGCGTCTATCTGACGATTATACGAAACTGGCAGTTTTTTGTGATCTGGCAACAGCTAACGGTTGAGTTGTCCGTATCGTAGACTATCGTAGACATCGTAGACTATCGTAGACGTTGTTATCGTATGTTTTGGACTTGTTTTTGATTCATTATATCAAACATGGATATAGAAGTTGTAGTGTATTGACGTCATGTCGTCACATTAGTCACATCCAGGATCAATTTATAATTAGTGTATTTATTTGTTATAAGTTGGTATTAGCATAGTTTGATAGCCGACATGAAAATCAAGCTATCTCTCTCGCTCTCTCTCTCTATCTGAAGACTGGGAATCGAGCAGGTGTTGTATAACTTCAGAATAAATAAAAGCATTTCAAGAAGTAAGTTCTGGAAGTTTATTTATTAAAAGATACAACATATCATTTGGCGACGAGGACAAATTGAAATTCCAAGGAAAAATAATAGTTAATAGATTATTTTACCAAAAACGGAATTTGAGGTTAAACTGGATCAACATCGTGGTAAAGAAAATGGCGCTAATCGGCTCGATAGAAAGTTTCAATCCAAAAAGGGATAACTGGATTCTCTATCAGGAGCAATTAGAAGAATTTTTTTCAATAAACAATATTGGACCAACAACAGAGGCTGGACAACCAGATAAAAGAGTCGCAGCACTCCTTAGTTTGATTGGTATGGAAACATATAAAACCTTAAGAGACTTATGCACACCAACAAAACCCAAGGATAAAGGTTATGATGCCCTGTGTGAACTATTGAAGACGAGATTTTCTGCAGCAACTTGTGTGTTTAGAGAAAGAATTGACTTCTATCAGGCCAGACAAGATGAATCAGAATCTGTTAATGAATGGTATACTAGAATTCACAACCTATCAATGAATTGCGAATTTGGGAACTTGTTATCATCAGCATTATTAGACAAATTCATTTGTGGTATGAAGCCTGGTAAAATCAGAGACCGTCTATGTGAAGAAAAACCCAGTACAAAGTTGGACAAACTATTAGAGCTAGCACTGAACAAGGAAGCTTCAATGATGTCAGAAATGAAGGAAGTGAACTTTGTCCATAAGAAGCAGGGTAAAATTCAAGTACACTATGATGGGAATCAAGAACAAAGCAACACAGTTGGTAAATGGAAATGCAAAGCTTGTGGACGAGTCCATACAGGAAAGCAACTTTGCAAGTATGTCACATACAAATGCAATACTTGTAAAAAAATAGGACATCTATCCAAGGTATGTAGGGTTAACAGTGGTGGGGCAAGACAGAACATATTAGACATTGATGAGGATGTGCTAGAAATTAACAATATTTATTTTAGCAATGATAATCCAATATCCTTAGATATTTATGTAAACAATGTAAAATTATCCTGTCAAGTCGATTCAGGGGCAGCAATATCAGTGTTGACATTTGATACATATAATGTAGATTTACTAGATTCAAACTTGACATTGAGAAGTTATTCAGGTTGTAAAATGAAACCATTGGGATGTATCAATGTTGATGTAGAGTACAGCAACAAGATTTGTAAAAATTTTTGTTTTCAAATAGTTGAAAATGACAACCCCACACAAAACCTACTAGGTAGGGATTTTTTAGGTAAGTTTAAATTCAGATTGATTACTGATGTATGTAACCTTCAAAACAATGATGTGGAAAAAATATGTGTAGAGTTCAAAGAGGTGTTTGAAAGCTCTCTGGGGTGTTACAAGTATAAAAAAATTAAGTTACAACTAGAAGATAATGCCCAACAAATTTTTTTGAAAGCCAGACCAATACCACTAGCTTTGAAGGGAAGAGTTGAGGATGAACTAAGTAGGCTTCAAAAAGAAGGTGTAATTACTCCAGTTGAAACATCGGATTGGGGTACACCATTGGTACCTATTATCAAACATGATGGTTCATTAAAACTATGTGGGGATTACAGGTTAACTGCAAATAAGTATTTGAAATCAGTTAAATATCCTCTTCCTATAATTGAAAGCATATTCATAGAGTTGAGTGGGGGAGAATCATTCACAAAATTGGATTTGAGTTATGCGTATAACCAAATAAGTGTAGATGAGGACTCAGCTAAGATCTTGACTTGGAGCACACATAAAGGGCTGTTCTCAGTAAACAGATTGCCTTATGGCATTACTCCAGCAAGCTCTATATTTCAAAAAGTGTTGGAACAATTACTACAGGGTTGTAAAAATACAGCTAATTTTTTAGATGATATCATTGTAACAGGCAATACTAGGTCGGAACATGTTGAGAATCTTAGAAAAGTTTTAATGAAATTACAGGGAGCAGGATTCAAATTAAACAAAGGTAAATGTTCTTTTTTCCAAGATGAAATTTGCTACTTAGGATTTATAATTTCAAAAAATGGTCTAAAGAAAAGTGCAGACAAACAAAAGGCTATAATTAATGCACCTAGGCCAACGACAGTCACTCAAGTGAAAAGTTTCATAGGCATGGTAAATTACTATTGTAAGTTTGTACCCAAATTAGCTATTCTAATGAGACCTATTTATGACTTGTTGAAAGGAAATAAAACATTCATTTGGTCAAATTCTTGTAATCAGGCTTTTCAGGAAATTAAAAATATTATCGGTTCAGATCAAATACTGGCACACTTCAACCCGAAGCTGCCAATAATCTTGCAAACAGATGCTAGCCAAGAAGGTATAGCAGGTGCTTTGTTTAATAAAGACGAAAAGGGTATATTGAGGCCTGTGGCATTCATATCAAGGTCACTCATGCCGGCCGAAAAAAATTACTCGGTACTTGACAAAGAATCTTTGGCAATTTATTGGTCAGTCAAAAAGTTGTATCAGTATTTGATGGGACAAAATTTCATAATACAGACAGACCATCGTCCTTTAGTGTCTATCTTGGGTGAAACTAAAGGTATTCCCCAAATGGCGGCTTCAAGGCTTCAACGTTGGTCAGTATTCCTTTCGGGATTCTCATATAAACTAGAATACATTAAGGGAGAAAGCAATTACATGGCAGACATGTTAAGCAGACATCCTTTGGACATACAATATATAGATACCAATGATGAAATAAACTCATCATATCTAAATATGATTGTTTCGGACGACGTTCCAATAGATTATAAAAAAATTGCACTAGAAACTAGGAAAGATTTAACACTATCCAAAGTTTTCAGTTATGTATCATCTGGTTGGCCAGATAAGATGGAAGAACAAGCTATTATGCCATTCTTTAAAAAAAGATTGGAGTTAACTTTAGAGCAAGGCTGTATAATGTGGGGATATAGAGTTATTATACCTCAGAAATTTAGAGAACATTTATTAGAAGAACTACATGGTAGTCATTTGGGGATAGTAAAAATGAAATCCATTGCCAGGTCGTACTTCTATTGGCCAAACTTGGACAAGGACATTGAAGCAAATTGCTTAGCATGCCTGCCATGCCAAACAATTGCAAACAATCCAGCCAAATCAGAGGTAATGTCCTGGAATAGGCCTTCTAAACCGTGGCAACGTATCCATGTAGACTTTCTAGGACCAGTTAAAGGTAAAGTTTATTTTCTGATTTTAGATGCGTTCAGTAAGTACCCAGAAATAAAAATCATGGATCGAATTACTTCAGAAGAAACGATTGAAAAGCTAAGGGAAATATTTTGTACTTGGGGAATCCCTGAAACTATAGTATCAGACAACGGTACACAGTTTGTCTCAACAGAGTTCAAACAATTCTTGGCAAAAAATGGTATTAGGCAAATCACATCAGCACCATACCATCCAGCCACTAATGGGGCTGCCGAAAATGCAGTGCGTAGTTTTAAAAAATCTTTGAAAGCAACATTAATAGATCCTAAAAATAAATTTAGTTCAATTAATTTGATTATTAGTAGATATCTTTTAAACTATAGAAACTCAATACATTGTGCCACAAATGAAACACCATCCAGGCTTATGATAGGTAGGAATGCTAGAACAGTATTTGACTTACTTAAACCAAGGGTAGATAATGGAAGTATTAGTCACCAAGGGGGTAGACGAGAGAATTTTAAAGAGGGACAGGTAGTAATGATTAGGGACTACAGGGAGAAAAACAAATGTCAGTGGACAAAAGCGGTAATCAAAGAAGTAGTTGGTAATAAAAATTATGTCTGTAAATTACCAAATGGTCAATGTTGGAGACGTCATCTGGATCAAATTAAAAAAGGTTCAGACAAGGAACCTGAAGAAGGGGAAGTACACACAAATAAGTATTGTGATGATAAAAAAATAAAAGCTCCCTCAGTTCAGATACCTGAAAATAACCCAACAGAGCAATTGAACAGTGATTATGAAAATACAAGCAATAATAGTTCAACCTCCTCTTCTCCTCATAGATCATCAAGTAGAAATAATTCCAGTGAATCCTATGAATCACTGACGTCCACTCCATCAACTAGCAATCAGTCTTATGAAAGAAGCAGTGATTTACAGGAA